TGTACAACTAGTCTTTTGCCACGATGAACTTTGTGGGTCTTGATCTGTTGTTACTGTTGATGAGGTGGCATAAATAACAACAACAACAGATATATTTTAGTTTTTTTTTTAATTAGAAAATTGATATTGTTATATTCTTTTAGATTTTATTATTTCTATTAAAAGTTGTTTCATAATTCTTTGTAGGATGGAAAAAATAAGTGCCAATATTAAGAAATTTGAAGGAATTACTAATGACTCTAGTATCTACTCAGCTCTGGAGCGAAGCTTAAATGAAATTATTTCCATTTATCAAAAGAAATTGTACCAGGATAAATTAGCCTTTCAAACCATTGGAGGTGTCACTGCCTTAATTAACATTTTAAATATAATGTCTCATATCCCAATGGAAAACAATGGTGCCATGCATAAAAAGTATGATTTTTTTTAATAAAAGCTTATATAAATCTTATATTTTATTTGTATTTATATTGCAGCATTTGATTATTATTTTAACAAAAATATTTATATTTTACTTTATATTTCAGGATTCTCAATCATCTAAGCAATACATTTGAATCTTTGATAGAAAATTCCTATGAAGTTTGTAAATTTATATTATTCAGCAATAAAATCGGGGGTCTCCTTGACTTTTTGATTCATCGCTTGAATGTAAGTAATTAGAAAATACTTTATTATTTTAATTTGTTTAAACTAGTACTAATAGTAAATAAATCTAATTAAAATGTAAATTATAACTACATCCATCCCTATTTTTTAATTCTGTTATAAACTAACATATTTCAAGAAAAAGATGCTTTTTTTTTAAACGTAACTGATTTACTTTAGCATAACATCAATTAATCTTACCAGAAACAATAATTAGTATTATTTCTAGCAGTTATGGTTCTAAGTTTTTATCTCTTCTTATAAATATGTAAATGTAAATCTACTTATCTAATGACTAAATCAGTTGTTTTTTCATCACTTTTTCAATGCAATTTTTCAAATTAAATTAAATTCTTTATTTCTTCTGAGAAGATTTTTAGATGACGTAGAACACATGTCCCATTGTTAGACCAAATTATATTATTTTTTTCTTTTTGTATGATTCTTTATAGGGAATGTATCTCTTATTTATAAAAACAGAATTGGTATTCTTTTAAAATTGAAAGTTCAGTACAGTAGTTGTGTGTAAATGACATGTTTTATTGCTTTATTAAATTTTGAATTATTTCATTTACTTTTATTCACATGAAATTATCATTTTTTAAATAATGTAATTATTTTCTCAGGATCTAATTCCAGATAATATTAGCCAATTAATGATAAATCAAGTCAAATCAAATGGAATTAATGTTCAGTTAGATGCAGTTGCTGGAAAACTGCTCCATATTTTGACTAACGTTTTGACTATTCTATCTGCAAAACATATTTCCAATGCTGACAAAAGAAATGAAAAGGACCCTGAGGACTTTAATTTGAGAGTACTAGATGTTATCAGGTAATATTTTATTCTCTCAAAACCTTAACATTATATTTGCTTTTAATAATTAGAATTGGCTGAATACCAATCATTGGTTTTTGATGTATGTTCATTAATATAAATTTTTTTTATTCTAGCTATATTGTAAGCATTGGCATAGTGGACAAATTATCTCAATTCATTAATTGCATTCAAGGGCCTATTAATAATGAAACTGAAGTTTCTGAATTTCTTCTTGATTGTATTTCTTTCCTTTCTGCTTTGATAAAACTCAATTCTGAATGGTAAGCAGTTAATGTTGTTAATTTAGTTATTTATATATAATAACTTCAATTAATATTGATTTATTTTTAATCTCTAAATCATAATTCCAAATATCCTATTTTGAAACGTGTCTCATTCGACTTAGCATTAAAAGATTAAAACCTATATTTCAACATCTTTTTTAGTGATTCCTTGTTAAAAGGATTAGACTTTGGAATCTTGATAGATTTATTGGTGATTCCTAAACATACTGGCCAAATGACTTGTCACCTCATCAGATATATTATAATTCCGCCTTCTGCTTTGTATAGAGCATTACCTCATCGTTGTTATAGTGATAAGGGGACTGATCACATTCCAATCAAATACTCCCCAGACCATTAATCCTTTACTTCCAACCTGCATGACTGGTTGTATGCAATCTGGATGAAGAGCTTCATGCTGTTCCCGACGAATTCTTTGTCTGACATCATTTGTAAAAGGTGTAAAACAGTTCTCATCGGTCTGTACAACTTTTTTCCACATTTTTATGTCCCAGATTTTCTATTCTTTAGCCCAAGCATAACAATATCATCGATTTAAAGCTGACAGTTATGGTTTTCGTGTTTGGGTTGTCGATTTGAAAGCGCAAAGAATTTAAGTTATCTTCCAAGTTTAAATGAAACTCCTTTGCATTTTGTAGAGTTATCAATCATTTGCTTTCCCTATTTTTCTTCGCTATCTGCTTCAATTTCCTCTCATCATATTTTGTCACTTTCTTGGGTCTATGTTCCCTGCATGATAAAGCTTTTGTGCTACCTTTAGTTAAATATGCTTTATATATCCATATTACACTTCTGTTTGATATTCTAAGTTGATTTGAAATTTCAGATACTTTCACGCCATTTTGTCACACAGAAACAATCTGCTCTCTTTTAGACTCATAGATAACTTTTGTTGATCTCACCATAAAACAATTAGTTTTAAAATTAAAACAATCTTAGCTTTAAATAATAGAATTGATTGCTTTGACTAATACTTTTTCTAAGATATTAATTATTTTTATCAGTTGCAATTTAAAGAAAAATAAAAATAAAAGTGCTAGGTGACAAGACATTTGACCACTATGTGTAGTTAAAGAATATCATAAAAGCTTACACATGCTTTACAAAATGGTTTCAACGTTTCCCTAAACAATGATGTAATTTCTATAATTAATTAATAATTCCCTTTATTTGTACACATCATTATATTTTTTTGTATTACGGTTTTCCCTGTTTATCTGTAAGTATTTAAATCTGGAATTTGAGTAATTTCCTCTCTTATATTTTTGTTCTTGAGCAATATGTAATGTCAAATAACTCTCCTGATGTTAAAATAAAATAAACGATGATGAGATCACTATTTAAAAGCTTTGTTTTAGCACCACAACTACAATACGAAAAATGAATTTCCTCTTCACATCAATACATTATAGATATATTGTAAAATAGTTGTAGATATGAAAAATGAACAATAATCTGAAATCCTCTGCGTCAAACCCTCATATATGAACTCAAGATTTCTTTCTTGAGATTATTAATTTTTCAAATTATTTGTTCGAAAATATTATTTATTACAAAATTTGCACATATTAATATTTCCATTAAGACATCACATAGGTAGTAGTGATTAAGTAAGTCTAATTTTTTGTGTGGGAATTGTTAATATATATCCATTATAACAATGATTTTCAACCTTATTTTTGTTGCAGTACACTTTTAAATTTAAAATTTGGTGGCACTGTAACAATAAAAGTTTGAAAGAATATTACTTATCTGTAATACATTTCCATCCATCCATCAAAGAATAAGTTAAATATACCTCGAAGGTTCTTAGTTTATTTCTATAAAACAGCCAAATGATTTTATTTTTTTATCTCAGAGTATAATTAAAAAATTTGCCGGCACGCAAAAGGGCTGCTGCACAATGGTTGAGAACCACTGTATTATAACATACTTTGTGGTTTTATGCAATAACTATTTAATTAATCATTATTAAGAAAAGAATGTATTGGTATTAAAACTATTAAAATTTTTTTTATTCGTAATGTAAGAATTAAAAAATTAAGTATCAAATATGCATAATTTCCTCCTAACTTATTTTACAACTCATTTTTTCACTAGATTGTAAGATGTTTCTAAATTTAAAAATGTTTTGTTTTACAATTTTTTTAAAAAAAATCTTTTTCAAAAATTGAGTTTAAGTTATTTTGGCTCTCAAGATTATAACAAGTCATACATTGCTTATGTTTTATTTCTATAATTGAATTAAGGGTAAAATTAATAAATTCTTTAAGTTTTCAACCTACAATATAATTTAGCATATCATTTCAAAAGTTAAATACTAAATCAAGAAGGTAAAAAAAATTAACATAGAACTTTTTGTTCCGCTTCAAGTTTTGATTTAGGATTGATATTAATTTATTCTTTTTGTTTAAATTGCAACAATTTTATCTTTTAAAATTTCTTAGAAAATGTGTTTAAAAATTTTCCTTAATTAACAGAGCTCTATTTACTGCCATTTGAGCTTGTACAGATTGTAAATTTTTTAATGTCCTTACCAAGACTGATTTGAATTTTAATTTAAAACACACAAAGTATGGTTCTGTCCCATTTGAATTTGAAAAGTTTCTATGAAAAACATTTTACCAATAACTATTTATGATAATTACAAAAAGAAATTCATGTGTTCATTAGATATTAAAGAATTTTTTTTCTATAGTTCCAGTCCAGCATCAAATCATAAAACAGAAGATTCTACTCAACTGATAGCTACTTTCCGAGTGACTAATATGGTGGGTTCTGTGTCACTCTTATATGGCCTTCTGCTTCACAGTGGAGCATCCTCTAAAACTGAAGGAATGCCACCACCATCTTTACCCAAACAAATTGAAGTTTTAGCATACTCGACTCTTTGTATGTTGAATCACATGGCTGTTATGAGTCTTCAAGCTTTCCAGGTATTGAAACTCAATTTACCTTCCCTTTTTTTTCACAATTCCTACTATTAATTCACACTCACCCTAAATATATATGTATATATATATATATATTGTTCAAATTTTCAATCGTTAATAAAATACTTTTTATTCATCCACTCAAGTTCAAATACATTTTTTAAAACTTGTAGTGGATGAAGCTTGATGTTAAATATTAATTCATTAATTCCATTTAATTAATGAATAAATAGTAACAAACAAAATAATAGTATGCAACACCATGTATAAAAAAGAAAATCGCTTGTTGTGGCTGCGTAGTGTAATGGATAGCACATTGGACTTGTAATCCAATCTAAAGGTCGTGGGTTCGAATCTCACCTGGAATGGCCTAATTTCTTTTTACTATACTATCTTATTGGAATAATTAAATTTAATTAATGAATAAATAATAAACAAAAATAATAGTCTAACACCGTAGAGAGAATGGAAAATTGCAAGGAAAATCGTTTTCTATTTTACCACTTAATATTTTGATTTTGTCATATATTAATTGTAATTATTTAATAAAAAGTAACTAAAATAAAAATTTTCTATGTTGACCTAAGTAGGAATTGACTTACCGTATTTCCCTGTATATAATCTGCAGCGGCGTATTATCCGCAAAGCCTTTTTTTCGAGTAAAAAAAAACATTGTATAATCCTGCAGTTTTTACGGCGAATAATCCAAAATATAAACTGCTGATAATGAGTGTCATATAAGATAAAAAATACACAATATAATTAAAAATAGAAGTAAGAAATTGTACAGAAAAAAAACTTATTATGAAACGTCTTTTTAAATATGTTTGATTATATTTTTTACGATAATCTCAATAAAAGAAAAAAATTCTTTGCTGTTGCCATCTATGTTTTGAGTTGTTAAACAAAACATTACACACAGAAAAAAATTTTCTTCTTCTTTTTTTTTTTTTAATTTTGAAATTTTAAAAAAAAAAAAAATTAAGAACGAGCATAATTTCCCATTGTCTCTTTCTTTTAAAATCCATTTATTTATTTTTTCCTCTAATTCTGGCAAGTGAGGTTTTTCACGACGATCGCTTTTTAACCTCGATCACAATTTTCGAAGTTGGTCTTGTTTTTTCTCCACAAACGAATATTCAATTCGTCAATGTTGAAAAACCTTGCAGCTTCCCGATTTTCAACTTCGTTAGCCTTCTCTATAACTTTTAATTTGAAATTTGCAGTGTAACTTAATGCTTTCGCTTCAACATGATGAAAACTTTCAAAGGATGTAATAGCTCTTGTCAAGAGAAAATTGGAAATGGCGCCAGCTACTAGTAACTGTTTTTTCTTTCTGAGGAATCGAATTCATTTTTGAATATAATTGGACAAAAACTAGTTATGGCTAAAATACCTCATCCGAGTCATGAAAGCACCATCTATTATTTATTTTATAAAACATAAACGACATTTTTTTCAAAACTTTATTGTTAGCTTTTCTGATGGAGAATGTTTTTTCTCAGATAATCCGCGGCGGTGTATAATACGCACAACGAAATTTGAAACTTTTTTAACATATAATCCCATGGATTATATACAGAAAAATATGATAATTTTTTTTATATTACTTGTTAAATATACTTTTTATATTCTTAGATTTCAATTAATATATTTGTAGTATTTAAAAAATTCAAGAGTTTCTTACAAGGAAAAACACATATTTGTATTTCGATGTTGTGATGTGTTTTAAAACATCTAAATGATTTTTGTTGCATGTCAATAAAAAGATTTTTTTAAGGAAATAACTTGTTTAATCATATTATGAATGCATTTGCTAAATGCATGCAAATTAAATTACAAGAAGTTTCTCTATTAAATTTGATATAATGTATGAATAGAAATGTTTATAACTTTGCCACAGATTGTATGCATTGATTCACTTGTCGTTTATTACTTTAAACAATTTGTAAATATTTGTAATGAATTTCTTATTAATTTACATTGAGATTAATAAAATAATTTTATTCAAGAAAGCCTTGCTTTTTTAGAAACTATTAACACAGATTTTTTTAAAATTATTTTTTAGAGTGTTTTAGGCAGTGAAGGTCTTTCTCTTCAGCTACGTCATATAACTAGTCATTTATTGTGGTATTGCAACCATTTCGCTTCAGAAGCTCTTCTTCATGAAATTATTCTTTTAGTTGGCTATTTTACTGTTCTAAATCCAGAAAATCAGGTATTTATAAATTAAATTATATGATTTTTAAAATTAATAAAAATTTAATACAAGTTGTATTTTATATATTCTAATTTTTTCACTTTATATTATTTTTTATATTGAATCGATTAACTGGAGTAGAAATTATAGATCATTCTTGAAAATTCATTAACTTATCATTTTAAATCAATTGTAAAATGTTCACCTATTTTTCACTGAAATTTTTATTTGCAATTTTTCTATTAAGTTTGATTTAATTACAAAAATATTCAAAATAAGAATTTTGGTTCTTAGAATGGACACTTCTAATTTTCTTAAATAAATGAATGTTGGTTCTAAGATTTTTAGGTTCGAAAACTAAAACTCTTCCCATTGTGTATCTTTTTTTTTTTTTCTTTTCATTCTGTGAAAGATCATATATTTTTTTGTTTTCGTTTTTATTTTGAATTCAAATTTGGCTAATAATAGTTTGTAGAGTTTTCTATAAATAATGTTACATATACTTTCCTTTTCTACAGGAAAAATGCATTTTGTTTGAAATTTCTTTATACTAGTTGTATTCTTATTTATAGTCAATAATTCAAGCTGGACAAAGACCTACGGTTCTTCAACAGTTATGCTGTCTACCATTCCTTTACTTCAGTGATTCGGAGTTAACAGATATCTTGTTTCCAACATTAATAGCTTGTTGTTATAAAAATCCTGCTAACAAAACTATTCTGCAACAAGAAATGACATCAGAACTATTGTCAAATTATATTGAAGTAATGTGATTTTATTATCAATAAGTCTTTATTTCAATTTGCATTTATATATATTTTTTTGCCAATATTTTGTCTTTTATAAGGCTGGTAAATATTTTCTTCAAAAGTTGATTTTTTCTTGTTTATTTTAGGTAAAGTATTTGAATGCTGAGGAAAACAGTTTAAAAGAAAGTAAAATTGGTAAGTGTTTTCTAATTTCCTTTATATTTTCTCCCGGGTGCTCAAATTTAATTTTGTTTACTTAAAAGTTTACATTAAATATACCCCTCATATGTGCCATTTTACACTTTTCTGCTTAAATGGTTCCTTTTTACGCATTTTCGTCAAATGTTAGTCATCTGCCAATTATTTTCTACCCTACAGCTCCTTATTTATTATTTTACATTCACAATGACCAGAAAATAAGTAAACAACATCTGAACTCATTGCCTTTAAGTTTGAAAAAAAAAATGAATTCTCTCCATAGAATAAAAATTGAAAAAACGTAGGATACATTTTGAACATTTAGTTTCATTTATGGCAGATAATTATGTAGTAAAGCTGGGGCAAAAATATTGTTACCTACTTAAAGACAAAGAATAAGTTATATGGATTGCTCATGTCATTTAATACATTTGGCATCAGAAAAGGGTGCTGCTTCCTTATGTTTAAAAGATGATGAGATGCTTATAGATGTTATATACTACTTATAAAACTGTCAAAGTTTGATCAATAAGAAAAATTGCAAAGCATTCATATACTAATCGCTATGATTAGCACTTGGTCACAGTCTTGATGTCAACTTTTAACTTGAACATTAACTTGTGTATGTGTAGTTTTTTTTATAAATATAATCTAAAAGTTTAATAATTTCACTGTATTTTTTTATAAAAAGCATATTTACTGTAAAGCTATTACTCTCTTGTTTGTTACTATATATATACCTTTAAATTTACATTTGTGTGTATGAGTTTTTGTGAATGAAATCGGTTCGAAGGAATAGTTTCCTATGAATACATTTCTCTTAAAACTGTGTAATAAATATTTGTATGTTATGCTTTGTTTTATAAAATTTTAAATGTTAATCTTTTATTTAAAAAATTTGCTTGAAATGTCAATCCTGCATTTTTTACATTTTTGAAAGTTGGTAGGTAGGATATCTAAATATATATGGAAAAAAAAATTTAGCAGTTTTTCAAATTTGCGTTGGTACTAGAGCTTTTATGAAATAGATATTGAGATATCTTTCCTTTCTTTAAATGTTTCATTAATAATTATATGCTTTGATTATTAAGTTTCGATTCTTTTTATAACATCTACATTTTATCACATGACATCATTTTATTTACTTTTTTGTAGGTATCCATGATAAACGCTGGTTACTTCATGTGAGATTTCCCAAATGCCATTGGACTTCTGCTAAACATTACTTCTCTAATGACCAATTATTATAGGTGAGGTTAGGGTACAATTCTTTGTGTGTTGTTAAAATTGTTATATACCAATAAATGTTTTTATTTCTTATAACAAACCTTCTGGAAGATAAATTGAGAAAAGTCAAGTTGTATAAGATATATGTTTATAAATTATGACATTATTATTTGCTTGTATTTTCGTATACATCTACCAGATGTTTCAAAACTCACACGCATCCATATTGTAATCCTTGTTGCTCAAAAACCAAAAGGGTTTCTTGAAATTTCTGTCACTAGATGACAGGTGGGGTCCCATCATAAGAAGTTTTGAACGTAGCTGGGATCAGTTTCAAAATACTTGTCAGTTGAGCTCAATGAGGGATACATGGTGTTTTCCCAAGAGCAAAGAATAGCCATCATGAAATTTCATTTCTCTACAATATCTCATTGTCGTAGGTTAAATGCATTTTAGCAGAAATATCCAGGTGAAACAACGCCAAATGTATCAACGATAACACGTTTTGTTCAACGATTCCATGACTTAAGATCAGTTGTAGACAGGAAGCAATTGGGTAGACTGCCTTTAGTGAATACAAAAGTGATAGATGTGGAGACTATTTTACAAAGAAGTCCAATGAAAAGTAGTCAAAAACTCGCTGTGCAGCTAGGAATGTCACATTCATCAGCATAGAGAACAGCACACAAATTAGACTTTTGACCATTTAAAATGCATGCTGTACATGAAAGGAAGCCTACAGATTTTGAAAAAAGGATATATTTCTGTAGATGGTTTCGTTTTTCCCTTGACACATATGACATCCGTAAACTGGATAATGTTTTTTTTACACGAATGAGGCAGGGTTTCATTTGCATAGATACATGAACAGCTGGTATTGGTCCACCATAAATCTACACATTATACAAGAATGGCCCTTACATGATGAAAAACGGTGTGTGATGTGCTGAGTCTTGCCATTGAATTATGGGGCCACTTTTCTTTGATAGCACTG